GTTTTTTATTAATTTATTCCTTAAAATTTTTTGTTTTTTAAAATTAATTTAATTTTTTGTGGGGATTTTTTTAAAAATTAATTTATTTTTTAATTTTCCTTTTTTGTGTGGTTTTTATGACTTTATTTTTTAATTTGTTTTTTTAATTAATTTATTTGATAATTTTTTGTCGCTTTTTTATTAATTTATCTTTTAATTTTTTTTCTGCATTTTTAAATTAATCTTTAATTTCTATTTCTATTAATTTATTTTAAATAATTTTGGTGGTGTTTCATTAATTTATTTGTTAATTCCTTTTCTGTCTTTTTTATTAATTTATTTAATTTATTTATTAATTTAATTTTTTTGGTGAATTTTTTAAAATAAATTTATTTTTAAAATTTTTTTTGTGTTTTTTAAAATTAATAAACAAATAATCAATTAATTAATTATTAATTAATTAATATTTTAATTCCCTCCAGCGACATCCGAATGGATCCAATTTTTCAAGGACGCCGGGATCCCCCCCGGCCCCGCCGTTAGTTACGCCTTCACCTTTGTGGACAACAGGTGATTTTAATTAATTACAGCTCGTTAACGAGGAGAGATCTCCTAAATCAACTTGTATTGCTTTAATTTTAACTAATCAGAGCTCGTTAACGAGGAGAAATCTCTTTAAATCAACTTTTTCCGGAATATTCTGCCACGACACCTCCTTCAAGGTTTTAATTTTAATTAATTAGCATTTCTAATGAGGAGAAATCTCTTTAAATCAACCTTTTCAATTGAATTTTAATTAATTAGAGCTCGTTAATGAGCAGAGATCTCATTAAATCAACATTTTAGGTTTAATTTTAATTAATCAAAGTTTCTAATGAGGAGAGATCTCGTTAAATCAACTTTTTAGGTTTAATTTTAATTAATCAGAGTTTCTAATGAGGAGAGATCTCTTTAAATCAACTTTTTCAGTTGAATTTTAATTAATTAGAGCTCGTTAACGAGGAGAAATCTCGTTAAATCAACATTTTCCTCACCAGATGGTCCAGGTTGGGTGGGAAGATTGTGCCACAGCGACTCCCTCAAGGGTTTAATGTTAATTAATCAGATTCTAATGAGGAGAAATCTCTTTAAATGAACTTTTTCAGTTGAATTTTAATTAATTAGTGCTCATTAACGAGGAGAAATCTCGTTAAATCAAGTTCCTCCTCTATGTAGGATCCAGGTTGGGTGAGAATGTTGTGTCACAGGGTCTCCTTCAAGGTTTAATGTTAATTAATCACTTTCTAACGAGGAGAAATCTCTTTAAATCCACTTTTTCAGTTGAATTTTAATTAATTAGAGCTCGTTAATTAGGAAAGATCTCGTTAAATCAAGTTCTTCCTCCCCATAGGATCCAGGTTGGGTGGGAAAATTGTGCTGCGGCGACTCCCTCAAGGTTTTAATGTTAATTAATCAGATTCTAATGCAGAGAAATCTCTTTAAATCCACTTTTTCAGTTGAATTTTAATTAATTAGAGCTCATTAATTAGGAGAGATCTCATTAACTCCACCCTAGGATCCAGAAGAACATGTTGTTGGACCTCAACAAGGAGATCATGAACGAGTTGGGCATCACGGTGGTTGGTGACATCATCGCCATCCTCAAACACGCCAAAATCGTTTACCAACAGGTAGGGAAACGTCCAATTTCACCTCATTACATAATTAATTAGCTAATTTGCATACAAAATTCTTAATTATATGGAATTTTCTAGGAGATGTGCAAAGCAGCCACCGAATCACTCAACCCCAACTCAACCGTTGGCCAAACCGATCTCCGCCGCAACGTCAACAGCGGTGAGCGCGGGCGGGAGTTCGACGGGTGATTAAATCCCCTTTAGCTCATTAACCAGCTGCCTTAATTAACTTCCTCAATTAAAAACAACCCCTCAACAACCTCCTCCCGCCCCTTCCCAGCCGCCAGCAGGATGATCGCCAACAGTTTGAGTCGCGATTCTCCGGCCGCCGTCCCGCCCCGAGCGCGGCCGCACGCCGCCAAGATCTCCGTCACCGTCTCCAACAAAATGGCCGCCAGCAGAGCGGG